AACAGCGCGGGAACCGGAGAGAGTGAGCACTCAGATGACTCCAAAAGAAAAGAAGCGGATCACTTGAAATCGGATTTAAACAAGGCAGAACACGTATCAGACACGGCGAGCACAGGGGTGATGGGTAAGGACCAGAATGGTGTGGGTCAGTCTGGCTCCAGTAGCAGCCTGCAGGAGCACACTGGTGGTGCTGGTAACCAGGCTGGCAGCCAAAACAGCCCCAGTAACCAGGGCAGTGGCAATGAGAACCAGGGCAGCAGCGATAAGATCAAGGACAACAGCCAGGGTGACAACCACGGTGGCAACAACGGGGACCAGGCCGGCAGCCAGAGCAACAGCCCCAGTAACCAGGGCAATGGCAGTGAGAACCAGGGCAGCAAGGACAAGGACAGCAGCGTGGGCCAGACCGACAACAACGGCAGCAACAACGGGAACCAGGGCAGCAACCAGAAAAGCGACAACCAGAACGGCAGTGACAACAAACAGGGCAACAACCAGGATGGGGGTGGCAACGAGGAGAAAGAAGATGACAAGAACCATAAAAATAGTGACAGGAACGAGGACAACACCAACAAGGACCGGGAAAATAACAAGGACCAGGACACCAACCGCAGCCAGGACGGCACCAACAGGGCCCAGGGCAGTGAGAACACAAACCAGGGCAACAGCCAGGACGATAACAGCAGGAACGGGGTCAGTGACCAGAACCACCACACTGAGAACAACAGGGGTAGCACCACTGAGAATGGGGGTAGCAGTCCCAGCAGTAACGACAACAACCAGGCCACCGAGAATGGGGGTGACAACCTCAGCAGTAACGACAAAAACCAGATCCCTGAGAACAGGGGTAGCAACCCCAGCAGTGATGGCAATATCCAGATCCCTGATCGTGAGGGTAGCAGCACCAAGAACGAGGGTGACAACCCCAGCAGTAACAACAACAACCAGGCCAGCAACCAGGCTGATCAGGCAGGCTCTCAGGGTGTAAAAACCCCATCGTCACAATCGGCTTCCTCCACTGCTGACGGTGATGGCTCTTCAGGGGGTAAAGAAGGCCCCAGAGAGGAAGAAGACGGGGCTAAAGCTGGCAGCGACACCTCCTTCAATGAGGAGAGTGAGAAGAGCGTTCCTTCTGCCCCCAGGGACCAGTCTGAGAGCAGCCACTTCTTCGCCTACCTGGTGACCACAGCTGTTATCGTGGCTGCTCTGTACGTCGCGTATCACAACAAGCGCAAGGTGAGTGGCTCCGCTCCGCACCCACGCTCCCGACACCTCCCCTGCGGCCGCAGGGCTTCCTTTTTTCGGTCACCTCTGAGACCAGCTCGCTCTCAACCTTTCCCCTTGCCCTGACCTTTTATTTCATGCTGCGCACCGTGGGTTTGGTTAATATTAATATTAATTAAACCCTCGGTCTGAACAGCTCCAGGAGGAGCAGAGGGGGTGTTGCAATGAGGAAAGGGCTCAGATCTGGGTGGAAATTGGGTGGCCTCAGCTCTGGTGGTTATTTTCAGGAGGTGAAAAGGAAAAGACGCGTGGAGTCACGCTGTGCTTTCTCGCTGACAATGAGTTTTCCTGCGTGGGTTGCAGAAAGTTTGTCCTTAAACTGTCTTGCACGGCGGGGGGGGTGCAGCTCCAATGACGTAACTGCCTTTTGCTGGGGTTTTTTTCCTCCTGTAAAGCTAATTTTGAGGTAGGAGAAGGAAAACAAATTCTTCCTGTTTTCTGCACGCTAAGCAAACCTCGTTACTGCCTGCTTCAGTCTTAGCTGGGCTTGAATATTGGCGTGCATTCGTTTCACGTGCTGTTTGAAATGAAATGTGAGGAAAAGCTTGTCTGGTCCTTCCTGTCCCGCTCACCTTGTCCCCGTTTCTCTCTCCAAAGATCATCGCTTTTGCTCTGGAAGGAAAAAGATCAAAAAGTGGTCGGCGGCCCAAATCTGGCGATTATCAGAGACTGGATCAAAAGGTAAAAATCCACCCAAACCAGGAGCTGCTGCTGCACCCCAGGGGGAGCAGGGCAGGCTGGGGAAGGGGCTGCGCTTCCCAGCGTGTGCTGAAAATGGGAAAGATTTGCCTTTCGCTTTAGAAATGGCCACAAAAGCCCCACTCAGTTGGTAGCGGAGAGCAGATTTTGGTCCAGAAACAGAGGTTGGATGCTGAGAAAGGATGGCAGAGCTGATGCAGGGCAGCAGTTGGAGAGCCTTGAGCTCAGGTGTGCTGCAGAATAGTTCGTCACTGACTCAAACAACTTTTTGTAAGAAGTTTTTTCCCCTGTAAACGTTTTCTCACCCCTTTTCCTTGAAGCCGTGGGTGCCCGTCATTGTGTTTTGCAGTGGGAAGAGGCAGACACAAGGGAGGAAAATAAAAAGTGACCCCAAGCTGAAGCCTTTCACAAGGCTGTTTTCAAGTCCCATTGTCTCCCACAGCATCCTCACAGCTCAACTG